GGGAGCCTCAGCACCCTGCGCCGGGAGCCACCTGGGAGGTGCGGGGGGCACCGAGAGCCACTGCTCCCAGACAGAGCTGGATGGGGACTTGGCCATCCTTGGCCCAATCCCCTCTCCTTTCCTCCTTTGCCCCTTGCATCCTTCCCGCAGCATGGAAGGAGTCCCACATCCCCACTCCTCCCCTCAGATGCAAACACCCAGTGCAAGCCCCGTGTCACCCGAAACTGCCAGAATTCTGTGCCGCTACCGCACCCTGCAGCCGACACGAGGCCCCGGGGGGCCGTTACACAGAGATTTGCTGCTCCTTCGAGCAAAATCCCTCCTGTGTGGGGGGCATCTCCATCCCCAGCCTGCACGGAGCAGGACCAGGAGGACACCTGGGATGAACCAGCCCCTCTGATCCCCAAAGCTATTTAATTCCTTTCTTTTTTCTTGTCTCTCCTACTTCTTCCTCTTTTTCTGCCTGGGGATTTTGCCGACACCAGCAAAGGAAAAAAAAAATTAGTAACAGAGAAAAGCTACGTGCTGTGCTGGCAGATTGCTCAGGGCGCTTTGTCTGCTCTAATCCGATTGTGCCGGGGAGCTGCTGCTCTCTGCTCCCCGCAGCCCCCAGCCAGCTCCTGCCCCCAGGATGGCGGGGATGCATTGCTTTGGTCCCTGTGGTGGCTGGGAGAGCCAAGGAGTGACAGAAATGTCCCTCCCCCTTCCCACATGCTGATGTTTCAATCTGAGCATTGGGCTGGTGCTTGGCAAGGAGGAAGGGGAAAAAAGAAAAATCAATTGCTATGAGCAGCTCTGGGGAGTCCTGCAGGCAGCTGGATGGAAAATACCTGCAGAGCCAGGCCTCTGCCTAGCAGATGATTACCCTCCCTCTGAGGGCACAGACCTCTGCTCCCAGCGCTAGGGAGTCCGGCAGTGGGTACCAAGCACTCAGTACTGGCATCTCCTTGTCTGCCTTCGGGCTGCAGCAGACGGGCCAGAGAGAAATTCGAGGCCATGTCCCCAGCCCTGCTGCCCACCCACGCGCCTCCCTACCAGACTCTGGTCCTTCGGCTTGAGGGGTGTCATGCTCCGGCTAGAGGCGATGGAAGCAGGGCTCTCGGGCATCTCCCGGCGGGCTGGTGGGAGCCGGCTGCTGGGTGCGTGGCTGGGGCTGCCAGGCTCTGAGGGAGGGTCCTGGGGGAGGAAGAGAAGAAGTCATCTCCGGGGAGCATGAATCCCAGCCCCTCTGGGCAGGAGGGCAGGCATGACAGGTGCCCTGGAGAGCCACCCCCAGGCCCGGAGCCCAGCAAGGACTGACAAGCCCTGGTCTGCTCCCCGCTGCCTGCCAGGCGAGCTGCTCATCCAGCCGCTCGCTGTCCTGCATCCACCTGAGCGGCATTAACAAGGAGCATCCGCTTAGAGGCCTCAGCTCTGCTCCATGGCTCCCTGGATGAGAAACCTCCTTGGTTTTTCTCTTTGAACAAAATTAGAGGTGAGCAGATTCAGAGGACACTGGTGGCCACAGATGCCTTCACAAAGAGGGATGGTGACCAGCACACCCAAGGAACTGAGAAAGGGCCTCTTGGTAGCCCCCTGACAGCATTTCAGAGGCAAGGCCACCCATCATCCCTTGTAATCCTATAACCATTCAATTAGGGCTCTGATTTTTATCACTGTAATTACACCGTTGAGCAGTTTTTCTAAGTGTTGTTTTCTGCAAAAATCCCTGCTGATGTTCCTTTCATGGTTTGTATTTTCTTGGGAAGGGGCAGGAAGAAAAAAGAAAAAAAAAAAAAAAAAGAAAATCACGTGTTGTTCCTCTCCTAGTCTTCCAAGGGAAGAAAAGGGACATCCCCCAAAACATCATCTCTGCCAAGAATAGCTGGGGCTGGAATAAAGTCCTGTTGTATCTGCCTTGGTGGTCAGGGAAGGTTGTACCAGAAGCGCCTGGCAGTTTGGTTGCAAGAGACTGAAATTCAGCGTACGCCCTGCACCGAGACACAGACACAGGCTCCATGAGTTTAAGTCAACGATGCTCTAAGGCCAGGCACCACAGGAGACTGCCCAGATTGGGGCTGGCAGGGCCAGGTCAGGGGCGTGCTGCAAGCTCTCCGGTCAAAGACAGCACAGCATGCCTGCCTGCTCCTGCCACCTCCACGTGTGTGAGCTGCCAGCAGCGAGCCCAGCTCTCCGGGGCTCTCAGCTTATCAGCCTCCCCATATGGGATGCTACAGGAGAGGGGCTGAAATGGGATTGTGAAGCAGAGCCAAGTCTATGATGAGCCCTGGCTGACACAACCTTCAACCCAGAGCACTGCAAATCGGAATTAGCCTTGGTTGGCATGAACACATCAGAGCAGGGATGGCACATGTCCTGGCCGGCCGCTCCTGCCCAGCAGCAACGACCCAGAGCTTAATGAATCCCAAAGCTCAGGAACCAGAGTCCTAAACCTAATGACTACAGCTTGAGCTGGATACCCTGCAAGGCTTCAGCATGCCCTTAAGGGTGTGGGCTTACCTCATCCACCACAAGGTTGTAGTCACTCTTGTCCCCATCGCTATCCTGCAAGGGGGAAGAAACCCAGAAAGGCTCAGTCAGGAGTGGGAGAGGCTGGACTGAGCTCTGCGCTCTGCCCCACAGGACCTCAGCCAGCAGAGAGACACCATCTTCTCCCGCACATCACTTTTCGTGGACCAACACCATGCTCTGCACATAGCAACCCAATGCTCTGGCCGAGCGGCCTCCCCAGGGCTCTTCATTTTGTTCATTTCTTTTTGCAGGACTACAGCCCGCTGTACCTGGGGCAGGCACAGAGCTCCCCGGCCACCTCCAGGGCCTGGGCCCACCTGCCGCGGCCACGCTCTTTGGTGCACTCACATAATGCCCAGGCAGGTTCTTCTCCTCCCGCTTCCGCTTCAGCCCCATGCCTCCTGTCTGCTCCTCGTCCTGCAGGCTCTCGGGAGGGGAAGCAGAAATGCTCTGAACCAGAGAGGGGGAGAGGAAGGCATGTGAGCCGGCAGGAGAGCAGACAGCCTGCAAAGCCCTGCCAGCCACGCTTCCTCTTTGAAGAGACCTCCCAGTGCTGCTGGCTGCACCCAGCCAGCGTCCAGCATCCCGGCAGCTATCTGCAACCTGCGCCACAGCCGGTTTGGGGGGCAGGGGTCCCCTTCCCCCAACAAGCAGGTGTCAGGGCTAAAAGGGAAGGCACTACTCTCTCCCTCTGCGCAGGTACCTGTGTCATCCCCTTACTGGCATCCCGTGCACCCCTGGCCGAGTCCTCTAAGATCCAAATGCACCTGGGAGCAGAGATGGGGTTTAGTCTGGCGCTTTAAGCAAGGCTAGGGAAGATGTTTCCAGAATCCTGAGTTCTAGCCCAAACTCATTCATTCATTCATCTCTGATGGGGCAGAGAGAAGGGAAGCGGAATGGGGATCATCCCTGGGGGGTTGGCTGCCCAGTCTCCTGGCATGGGCAGAAGGCAGATGCATTTTTAGGGTGTTCAGACACTCACCCACACGCAGCCCCACTACGCCGTCACCTCCCTTTCCCAGCTTGGCCCCAGAACGACTCCAAAGTGAGTTGCCCTCATCCCTTCCCCTGCCCACCCCTCACTGCTCAAACCTGGCCAGGCCCCACGCCCCAGCCCCTCCCCAGGGAGAGCACAGCCAGTCCATCAGCCCATCACCACCTCCACCCTGGCAAAGCATCTCCCTGGCTGGTGGACAGGAGGAAGAGGGAGAGAACAAAGCCTTGCCCAAAACCCCAAAGCCGCAGGCTCCCCTTCCTTGCTAGAGCAGAGGGCTCTGCAATGGGGCAGGGGGGCAACAGCCCCAGCCGGCAGATGAGCCCTGCTGTGACAGGGACAGGGGAGGACAAGGAGACG